ATATATATATATATTCCTCAAGCCAGATGAGGGAATTTGGTCTTTCTTACTTAGTTAAAAAACAACAGTGCAACTTTAGTGGGTAGGAAGACGGCTAAGTAATTACAAGGGCATAAGAAAGGGGTAACCACCAATCATGATGTAAATCAATACGATGCATAGTGTCAACAATGTTGCGGGAAAGAGATGGATTGGGTGCGCTACTTAGTTATACGTTCGTTCGATGAGCTTGAGAAGTGGACTGAAAACGTTTCCTCATCAAACAAGACATCGTCAGTGCGGAATCCCGCCGATACGGTTCTCTCTATATAGCGACCGTCTCCCAGATACGACCATATATCTGTGTATGGCAGAGTTAATTATCTTGACCTTTCTATTACGGGTAACTCTGTAATCAGACCGGCTTCTTGAGGTTTTAATGAAGATGGATCGCTCTCACAGTGACTGGATGTCCAAGCAGAGATTACCCATGCAGCGCTTCGGGCACCGGAGCGCCCTTCTTGAAATATCATTCTGTGCCACTTTGAACAAATACAGTATGCTATCATGGCGCGTAATCCTTAGGTAACCTAAAATGAAAAGGTCACGGAATTGGGCGAGCGTATGTGTAATCGTGAGGCTACGTCTGTTACATTGTCTTTGTTTCCGAATTATAGAACAGGTCGTTTCTTATTCGAAACGCTAGGGACGATGGATAAGGCCATGGCCCAGCGTAGCGAACTTTGCTGCCAATCGGGGAAGCATCAATGACTTGTCGACTAAAAACGTCAGCCTGTTGGGTAGTTATGATCATTGAGAGACGAGAAAACAATGTGTTGTTGTCGCCATTATCTACCATTACCCTGATGATCGAGTTGAAACAAACATGTCGTTCGTACATGATTTCAGCTAGAAAATTGATCCGTCCTGAGGTCTGCCAACGGTTTTCGGATGGAGGCTGTAATTTGGGTGACTTCAAGACAAACAACTCCCAGGCAAATAAACTTAGATCGGAACTCTCTCTGGAGAGATGCTAATAAAAGACTGGAAAGAGTAACAGACAACGTACTGACCGTCCTTGGCAATCCTACACATGAACGTTTCGCGAAACGAAGGCGCCAAAAACACTGGTGGAAAGTGAGGCAAACAACCATTTGATCCAATCCCCATGTAAATGGAAAACAACGGACTCACAGGATAATAATCGTCTCATACATCAAGTAATGCGTTGGAAAACAAATGCAGCAAAGAACATAAGAAATGATGAAGCCACAAAATACGACAACATAGGAACGCTGATGAGAGCCCAAAGCATTATGCACTGGTAAACGGTGGGTAGACAAGAGACTGGCACAACAGAACAGGGCAAATGTGGAATGTAGTGTACCGACATGCAGCGCTCAGGAAACAGCACTAACGTGACTAGATATGGAACCTGCGCTTTCTGACAAGGGTGTCAGAAAGAAAGGAAAGGACCGCTCGAAAGAAAAAGGAAGGCGGTCACACCAGATCAATCTCCTCTAGGTTGTCAGTGTCAGGTAGGCCCGAATCGGTAAGCTTACTATACCGCTTCAAACGCTGATTTGTTAGCAGGCGAAACTTTTTCGGCCTGAATTCCATGGAGGGATGATCAGTGCCATTCCGATTGTTTGACTGCCCCACATCGTTGTCATATTCATCCTCTATCGCTTCTCCACGCAACATAGCCAAACGACTGTCATCCTCACCTTCGGACTTCGGGTGTTCGACTGGTAATAGACGATAGGAACCGCGAGCATCCTCTATGGGGACGCTCATCGATTTTCCAGGTTGGCATCGAGTCGTTAGGCCACGCCGAGACATTGCGTAGGGAGTTCGCGGTCGACAGCAGAAGCGATAGGACAACCAAACAGTGGCAGCTGATAGTATTGTCACGAGTACTGAACCTTCGAAACAAAAATGGATATATATATTATATGTATATTATATATATATATATATATATGAAGCGAAACCCATAGAATAACTTCAGTCATGTTGAGCGACGTCAATCTAACCCGTCGAAAGGTCGAAGGCACGATCAATATGCTTTCAAAAGAAGGCATCGCTCAACGATACCTCAACGATTTTAACCTGAAGTTCATCGGATGTTTGTCCAACAGATCCTGTCCCACCTCTGGTTAAATTGAGTGTATAAGGCAATCCGTTCGTCGTAAAAGTCGTGCTTTCAGAAAAATGAATAAGTGAAAATACTGTTGACATCTAACACGACCACATTGCTACTTACAGTCCATTACTTGAAGCCCTTGTAAGTACCTATCCGAGAGCGATATCCAAGCCTGGTGTCAGTGACTAGTTTGAAATCGAACGTATAAAGAGGCAACACTGTCAGGCTCAAGGTCCAGGTCTCCAACAAAAATCACGTTGACCTATAGTTCGAAGTCGATACGTACATCATAAGTCAGAATAGACCCTAGTCAACACAATCCACCCATCAGACACCTTCACTAGGCCCATGGATAACCAAGTTTCGGCTTCTATACTCGGTTTCCCGTAAGCTCTTTTACTTCACCAGGACGTCCAGGCAAAAGTACCAAATACGATTTTGAGTGTTGCTGCCCCGGGATTTTCTAGCTTGCACATGAGTTACAAACAAGTACAAGCCCTTTGGGCACCACTTCAAGGTGGATGGCACCTGAAGAAAGAAGTTGGACTTTATGCCTGCCTTTTAACCGGTAACACAAGTGTACAATCACGGCAAACCAGTAACGGCCCATAGGTAGAAGAGCCCGTCTATCCGAACTACTGAAAATCGCCGATTTATCGAAGTGTATAACAACCAATCTGGTGTGAAGCGTGCAATCCAAGACACCAAAGCCATGTATGGAAGCCAGAGAGTAATTTGTACCAACACTTGGAACAGCAATACCTGTGGATCGACTGCGACTAATTTAGCAGATTCACAGTGTCAATCAACTGGGAGATGAAAAAGGCTGTCAGCTAAGCTATCGGAGTGACTTACACTTTGAACGATGAACAATGCATCATTAGAGAGGAAGCGAACTGTGGTATGAAGTTGAGACAAAAGCCATCAGTGGTTTCAGCGGAGTTCGGCAGTAAGGTTGAACTTCCTCGTACTGTGCATAAAGCCTCAATAAGGGAGCTCACGACCTAACCCAAGGTATGTTTGACGGTTCCTTGTAAATGCCCCTGTTGACTGGTTCTGGCTTCACCATTCTGGAAGCTCGACTGAATAGGCTTGTATACCTTCAGTGGCAGGCAACCGATCCGCTGCAGAATGCGAAAATAATGGCAATTTCAGTGCACCGATGATCGCGTTGCTTAACAGAGAAGAAATGTCGAATACGCAGACAATCGGTAACTGTCAAAACATACGGATGTAGTTTGCGTAGAAGCCGAAGAACAGACTGGACAGTTTCAAAATGTTGATTAGTACAGAAGACTGATATGCACGGGTCAACGATACAGTCTCCTACACCAGAAAGCGAGAGTAGTAAAAATGCTCGACACCTAAGCTGGGAAAGACAAGCAGGTATTCAGATTCACCAAACCGACGAGCGACAAAAGATGACTGGTACCGAGATTGCGGATGAGTTCAGTCTAAAGAAGCTTGAGATGGACAACACAAAACGCGGTCACAGGCTTACCAGAAATGATCATCAAATGCGTCCGCGTATCAGTGGATAGAGCGCTGACAGGGGTGAGACGGAACACGTGATACGTCGGACCTTTCAACATCTCAACTTTAATCAGTTCGCTGAGATCCACATAACCGGTGGCTCGAACACTGAACCGAAATATCCCAGGTGGTAAGGCAATAACGAATTGGCCACGGTCTTCCGAGGGTCCGGTGGACAATTCACTCTGCATATAATCCATATGGATACGGGCCCAAGGAATGGGATAACCAGAGGTCGACTGCACGCAAAGAAAAATGACGTGAGACCTTAGTGCACGCAGGATGGCAGTTAAATCAATGACGACAAAAGTAGAAACAACGTACCTCAACTCGACCAATCAAACCGGAACTTCCTGGTACGGTTAATGTTGCATGACCGATGAGACCAAGCAAAAGACTGGGGAAACGGTAATCTTTCCAAATCCGAGCCACACCTGGTGGTGTGGGACGGAGACAGGCGGGACACAGTGAGAGACCGAGACTGATTGGACCAGCTAGTGGTAAGGGAGGTTGAAAAGAAGCGTCCGACTGGAGCTGTCCACGTGGCGAGTCTAGCCGGGCCAAATCGGGTGAGATCGAGGACAGGCGTAACGCTGAAGAAGCCTCCAAGGTCAACTTGGATTCGGTTGGTCGAGGGTTAGCGGGAGTTAAATCGTCAATGAACATCATTGTTTGAGGTCGACGACGACGGTCGTTAAACGACTTGTGGGTCGATGAGACAGCATGAATCGGAGTAGAACACACGTGTGTAGGATGGCGAAATCCTGGTGAAAGAAGCTGTCCGAGAAATCGCAACCAGTCGTGAATTTCGCCTTGAATGTGCTGAGCATAAGGAGTCTCGTTGGGATCTAAAATTTCGGTGATGCAATTATGAGCTAGAGCTGAACATCCACTTGAAAAAAGTGAGTTTTGCTTAACTTACGGCATCGGAATAAAACTGTTTGTCCGTCTATGTTAAAAACGACCGAATGGAATTTACCCAAATACAGTCTATAAGACGTTGTTCTAAGGAGTCCGAAGGGTCAAAGAGGCATTTGGGGTAGACTGTCCAACATCTGATGAGATTTCGAGCGATACTATGGAACAAAAGAAGATGCAGTCAATGGGAATCCAACCAACAACCTCACATCTAGGTACTGAGATTCCACACTGATTCGCTAAGTCACCGGCAAAGACTGTACGACGAATATCCAGCATGCTTCGGTTGACCAAGTAATCATGCTGGAGATCCGAGGTTGGGTTTTCACTATGAATATTTTCGTTTGCAGCAAGAGGATTCTGTGCTGTGCCGTGTTAAAAAACGCGGGAATTTAACGTAAAAAAGGCCTTATCCCGGTTGGGTAGACTCAAGCCGCGTCAGCGCAATTGAAGTTATGTCCGGTCTCTTTCTGGAAAAGCTACCAAGCAAACCAGAAGTTTCCACAGGCAAAAAACCCAGAGCGGAAAAACGCGTTTCAGTCGACCACAACAAGTCTCCGCTCTCTCGGCAACCGGATGCGTTATAACGACACTCGACCTCCGGCATACGCCAGACTCCGAAAAGTAATTCTCCACTGCATTCAGCACCGACTACCATCGGTTGCACTAGCCCATGCGTCAGCGGGTTTTTTTAATCTAAAGAGCATGGCTTCAATATAATACGCTACAATCGTCCATCAAAATTGGACCTGTAACCAATAAAATAGACCATGATTACATAAAACTAATCCCGTACTCTGACTAACCCCTGGCAAATGAATAGCCGACCCTACAGAGGGGTCGTACTGCATTCAACAGCTGGTATTTAATTGACATGCAACCATAAGTGCAACTCCATTAAGAACAGGCTGCAGACAACTAACGCACACTACACTGCGAAGATGCAGAGGATCAAAAGTTTGATCGCAGGCAAAAATAACCCGCTAGATTTTAAATTCGGTCCTGGCCGCGTGAATTACGCAACTTCGCAAATGTTGCTAACACACTGGTAATACATACATTGACTTCCGTCACAGTATAGTCAGCTACCGAGATAAGTAAATTGATCAAAAGAATCAAGCTTCTCTCTTTCTGAGATTTCAGAAGAACACGGGTGGAGGGGGGCTCAAAATCACGGAGCAATATTTTGCACATACTGCACTTTGTAAAATGCGTGCCCTAATTATGGGTCACATCCAGAATTCCACTTATAATAGGCTGTGGATTCGTAGTAGTCAACAGGACACTGTCGTCCGCATAATCCAAGTCCAGATGCACTTTCGGTAGCAAAGACCTCGATCTCATCGATGATAATATCGATGACCAAAATTAGACAAAGAGATAGGGAAGCCTAATCCCATTAGTTGTAAGAAAACTTCTGGACAGTTTGTTGGAAACTGTAAACGGACAGGATCGTGAAAACAGAAGGCACGGAGTATATTTGCAAACTTCAATGGCATTCATCTTTGGTAAATTATATCCTTAGTGACCTAGCTACGGAGTGAAAGGATTCAGGAAATTCGCAATGCTTTCACGGTGGTATGCATGTCGCTGCCCAAGCATCTGGCGTGATATGAAGATGTGGTCAATGCAACTTCTACCCGGGCAAATCCCTGCTTGTTGCTGTCGGTGTTGTAGTTAGTGATGCGAGCAGTCGCATCATGACAGGCGTCAGGAATAGTCGTTTCACGTAGCATTTTTGAATAGAAGCACGAGGGTCGATTGGATCCAGTTGCCTGGAACGCGTTCTTGTTCTCGAATGAGATCAATTAATCTATTCAGAGCGCAAAACAAAGCATTACAGGTGGAACTTCATTTTGTCAGGCAGTTGGATAGCCCCTTAAACCGGAAAGGCAGTTTAGTACTTCATCAAGTGAGAGTGAACTCAGACAACGGCTCGAGGTGAGCGCGTCGAATAGAAAATAGACATTAAGGTTAACGATCAACCATGTTGTTGGAGGTATTTTGCCCAAGTATTTAGAAGCTGGTATCAACTATATTTTAGTTCACTAATAAACGATATTCTGGGTTCTGTTTTGCGAATCAGCTGGAACAACTTAAGTGCATCCCAATGCACTGGCCTCCTCCATTTTTTTTAGTCTCTTGATTCCACCACACTCTTCAATCAACGCCGATTTGACTCTAACAGACCATTCTAGACGAATTGTACTGCTTTCTTAAATGGATACAAAGTCTTGTGTGGCGAAATGACACCGTCTGTTCTGAGAACCAGTGGTTACTATGTGCACGTCCGGAAGCATCACATGCTGCGTTTCCAGTGTCATGTGCGGCGGCTTTTACCTCGTCTTAGTTGCAATCCATGTATTTTGGAGAGGCCAATTCTAAGGCATGATATGGGGTGAGATGGCCCAAATGGTTAGAGCACGAATTTACTGACCGGAATGTCCGTGATTCGAACCCGACCTCTGGTTCTCAATTTCCCCTGCCTAGGCTTGGGCAACCTGGCAGTATCCCAGCCCTCGTGAAACCTTCGAGTAGCATGGCAGTTAGGCACCGGAAGGGTGCTACAGCTGAACGATAAGGCATCATATTGCGGGCTATTAGAAGTTTGCTAAATTCGCGGCTCAGAAAGATCGTAACCAAGAAGTTTGTTGCTTAGGCTTATCTTGGAATGGTTGAGAGCATATTCCGAATCAACATATGTAGACTAGAAAAATGGGCGGTTGAGTATTGACACTCGCTACCGGTAGCTAGCAGTCACGTGGCCGATTTGACTTCACGGTTATTCTGAGCAGGGGACCACCACAACGCCCTCTACTGCGCGTAAAACCAGTACTCCTGAGCAACAACTGGTGGTCAGAAAAGGGTTGTGAAAGACGCTCGCCCGGAAATGAACTTAACTTGCCAGTTAACCGCACCTCGCATGAACTTAGACGCCCAAATTGTGCATTGAAATCTCCTGTGATGTACATGAAGTGTGCAAAGACGTGTGCAAAATGACTTCCACAGAATCAGTCGATTGGTGCATCAGTAGAAACTGTAAACAAAACGTAGTCAGTCAATCACCGCTGAAAGTCCCTGTAGAAGATGAGAAGCATCAGTGTTCGGGTTTCCATTTATTCACCCTGCTGTACATAGTGAATGATGCGATCTGACCGATGTCATCATGCGATGTTCGATGTGTTGTGAAGGTATATTATGGTTTTATGTGGGCTGAGATATTGCTAGAACTCTCAAACCTAGAGAGGAAGACCATTAGGATTCTCAACCACAGCCTTTGGCCCAACAGCCCATCTACAAGGCAGCTGTGGTTGAAGGATGACTACCACAATGGTCCGATTTTGAAAAAAAACCTTGCCACACCTGTTTCAACTCCAATATGAAGGACTATGAAATCGCGTTTGAGATTTCTATCCACTGATCAGCTTGGTAGGAGGTTCTGTGGATGTCACATAGGCATCCTCCAGTACAGCTCAATGGGATGCTGAGATACGCAGGTAGTGTTACAAGACCTACATAGGAAAGACCTTTTAGGAGAGAAAGCAAGTATGGTAGTGTAATGCAGCTATCCAATGCCAGTATACAAAGCGTTCGTGTATGCAAAAAGGCGTTGATATCGGCAACAATTTGCTGTCCTGCACTATGTCCAAACAGAACTACAGGTGACACGGTGGCGTTCACAGCGTTGCAACTCGGCTTGTACAGATCGTTGTCTGTGCCACGCTGAAACGTAGATGACAAGCAGCACTATCCTTCATAGGAACTCACATGAGCTTCGATCGCAACCGGTTACGTTTGCAAATGAACTTTTTATTCACTTATGTGAAACGCCTGAGTCTGGTCAACAAAGATTATCACTAGAAAAACGTGTTCGTAGTTGCAGACTGGTCACATTATTGTAGACATTCGATAATAGACGAAAACTCACCCAGCCCGTAATCAATACCAGGCACAGATTGCGTTGGAAAACTGAAGATCACCGTGGGCTTATACGACCGAAACCAATGGACAATGGCGCTGGTTTCCGGTTCTAGGTGGGTGGATAAATTCGCGCGTTGTTCGTTCTCCCACCACCAGTGTGCACTTTTGTTCAAAGAGCTTCCGGTGAGATCTGAAGTAAAGGAGAAAGAAGCATAGGGGATATTAACTGAAGCCGCAGTTCTACCACACCGAACCATGAGTTCGGTAGGTCAGTCTCGAAAAGAATTGGGAAAATACCTAGCTGGGACTTAGTCCACCCGATTTCCCTGTGAAACTCAAAAGTTCAAAGTAGGTTAGGTGTCGCAGTTCTGTACACACTGATTGTGGTGCGAAACTGCTGACCGGAGGGTTGTTGGTTAGAACCCAATCCAAGACTTAAATAATGTACCAGTACCTCAGCTCCCATGCTTCCTCCGAGTGGCACGGAAGCCTATGGGACACGGTTTATAGCTGATAAATTGACGTTGAGATCGACTTCTCTGATGACAGTTGTCCCCAGTGAATATAAGAGGGCTAAGTGATCACATAAGAAGCTATATCTTCCAGAATAGTAAGGCCTTCGTACGTATGCAATGTGGCAGTGGTTATTTGACGTCTTACTATACAGAACAAACAAGATGTCACGATGCAACCTGAATCCGTCAGATATTATCCCGTAATCGCGTCTGACGTATCACTGATGGGAGAAGTACCTACAGTATAATTCTAACCAAAAAATCCTAGAGGAGTTCCGTGCCTAGAAAAGGAAGTTAGTGGTGAAATGAGGGCGAAGAACAATAATTTCTACATGGAGACAACTGGATGACAGTAGCGACGTGGGGGCTCAGACACGAATGAAGCAAACGGAGGCGATATCAAGACGTATAACCAACCACGACTGGGTGGAGATAGTTTTTTTTGTTTTCCACCGACGTTCGACCAGATTTGATCGTAATAGCAGAACAACAATGTGGCTGATCAGAAGAAGACCTGCGGAATACGAGCTAAAAAAAATCATCGTGATTACTTACACGCCATAATGGACTAAGTGAGACCTCCATCGATTCAGACGAGTGCACCTTGGTAGTACAAACGAATCACAGAAAAACTCACGAATCAACTCCTGCCAAAGATCCACAGGACCACCAGAATCAACGGCACCGTGTCCAAAATGATCCGAAGGCCTTGCGTTGCTGAACAAATAAGCCGAACAGTAAGGAGAAATAGACTAAAAATGGGCCAAGATGGTATGAATTTTAATGTTGCGTACATTAGGAAGTCAAAGGCTCCGCAAAACTACAAGTAGTACTGTGTGCATAACCAAAAAGTCCTTGCTTGCACCTGTCCAACATGCTTGTTCACCTTGTTTACATTCACAAGTTCCAGTAAAACTTCGATTTCTTCTCAAACTGGATTACTGAGCTCAGTAGATAGGGAACGAGATTCTTCAAGTCCTTATCAATAAGAACAACAACACTAGTGTTTAACTGTCCTACTAGAGGGTGGAAAGAAAGAGTGGAGACTTATCGCTAGAAATCTCTACCCCATGGAAAATGGCCATACTTACCAACAGCACTCAACTGTGAGAGTAAGAAACCACGGACAACAGTGGCTCAACATCCTTTGCATACCCCATTCAAAATAATGAGAGATGACTGAAGCAAAAATTAGCTTGGCGGTCCGACTAGGAAGTGACAGTGTGACGACCAATGAGGTCCGTTACGTGCTACGGTTCAGTGGTGACCTCTGAGACCCAAAAACAATGCACAGTCGAGAAGCTAGTGGTCAACAAGGGCGTTTCCTTAGGAGAAAGCCAGCGACAGTTAAGTTCGATGGAAAAATGAACTTCCATCTGAAGGCATTGAAACGAAAACCGTTGAAAATCATATTCTATTTGTGGGCGATGAGGACATCTGACGATTTCAAGAATACAGTGCCCCTCGCTTTTTCCGCATACACTGACGTCAGCCGCCAGAGGAAATTTCAACTGAAACATTGATCCACAACGTGGAGCACAGAAGCACGAATGTTTTGGTACGAACCGAAAAATTCTCAGCTTAAATCGAGTATCAGAAGTAAAATAAACGTCCACACATCGGGGGAAAGCACATATTCGATATCCAACAAAGTATTCAGCGTCAGTGTGTTTACGGATTGAAAAGCCGATAATGATGCCCACCAGTACTCCATCGTATTGGGAACAACCCTCTGGAGATCGGTGACTTCTGAAAGTGATCTGAGGATATCAACCAAATGAACGATCAACCCACTGATGGGGAATGCAACGAAGTGTCATTAAGATTCTGGAAGAGGAGGCAGCATCCTAAACCTGAGGTTGTAAAAGGCCAGTGGACGGAATTTGACAACAACCAACTCGACCCAGTGAAAGAGAGGCTGAGACTCTTTTGTTCGTAAGTATGATGATGAGGGGTGAGGGTGCTGAGCATGTAGTGACGTTGTTGACTCCCAAATGCGGTTGCTCTGTGTCAACGTCGGACTTAGAACTCAATAGTCGAATCCCTCCTAAATTTGGCCGCCGGAATCAACCATGATATTTCCTGTATACTTATTCGTATACAATAAGGTGATATAGTTACAACTTAAGAAACTTAAGGTGACGAAATCATATCTGATAAATCGATCCTACGCGTAACCACCTAAGCTTACAAGTTTTGTAGGAGCGGTTGACGATCACAGCTGAGCACTCCTACGTCTACTGACGAAACCAGAGACCATTCACACGCGAGGGCAGCCCATCAGCATAGCAGTTATAAACTACATACCTGTCACCCGATAGCTGAAAGACAGCGTTTCTTGCTGATCAACTGATCCCATTAAATCAGGTAACCATTTCATTACAGAAAGTAAGAAGCTGGAGGGAAATTTTCAGCGGCCCCCGAACCAAAGTAACCGATTATTAGTCGAAAAATTCCATCAGATTGCACGCTTGTGCCTTAACAGTCATCAGGTCCTCTGTGGAGACTGATGACCACATAAACAGTCACAACTAGTCATATGGTCCGGCTTATTCATCAGTTAGTTGGACAGGGGTCATACATACAAGTTTCTCAAATGAAGTTGCCCAAAGCTTTCCGATGCATGGGTTCGGTGAGGCTATGGCGAAGCAAGGTGTTTCAGAAGAGGTTGAAAAGCGACCGGTAGATTTGTGAACAAAGATGTGTACAAATAAAAATCACGGACCAGTTATTACACGACAATCTTCAGTAGACAAGTGGGGATCAAGTACTACTAAAGGGAATATCGGCTGTGTTCGAACACTCACCGGTCACAGTATTCCGAATCTCGACCGGTGGTGAATAGTTCAGCTGAAGACTGACTTGATGGAAAGAAATCATCGGGTCGGGACCATGCTCGAGAAGTCCCGTCAGGGTTTGGGATTGGGACTATAGCCAGCTGGACAGCTGATAGCATTTGGTTGACGGAAGGGCGAGTATCTCGGTTCTCACAAAGCCACTCAATAAAATGCACCAGAAGCTGCGGCGTCAACTGATCAGACGCGTGCAAATTACCAAACAACACGACACGAACGGACTCCAGTTTCGGTATGTGAGTATTGTTTTCCGAAAGGTTTTCTTCTACTACGAACAGAGCGTCACCATTTTTCGTTTCAGGCTGATGACTAGTATCTAGTGGTCGAACGTTCGTTATACCGTGACCAAGCTTGAAAACATAGATCGGTTCACCCTGAAAAGACGAGAGATTACGGAAGACGGAATAAGATATGATTGCACACATTTGATGACCATTGCGAACCTGGGCAGTATGACAAACTTCAGTCACTAAGATAGTATCGTTTGAAATGACAAATCGCGTGTAGATACCCCGCTAAGGGTAGTGGTTGTAAGCGTTTAAGAGTGAACTGGAAGTTGGCGCGTGGCAAAAGCACCCAGATTACAGCAAATTTCACAAGAATGAGAGCCTAGGGTTCCCTTTTTGATGGAACTTATTTGGGAATCTGCTATACGTGAGGACAGAAGGACTCACCAATCGCGATTTGCCAAGAGTAGTTAATTGCCCACAGCGTCCATCTGCACCCGTTCCGCTACTGTAGTGTTTCATCCTATCAAACAAAGATTCTGGTGTGCGAAATTCAATTTTTCCGAGTTGGCGCTCCAGTCGAATCTGCGCACGTCCGTTATTACGATCAGGACGCAGCGCGACAGCGATCGCCATTTCCTCGTAGGTCTGTCCCAATGTGCTGTTCTCGGAGCCAGCGGCAGCAAAAACTAAGTATGTCCCTATGGTGTGAAAGTGAGATTGACGTGAAATAGACGAGGAGAGCACGAAAGTAATGCTGGTCGGGTAATAAATTTGGAAGAGAATGGTAAAAAGAACAGTAAAGCTGACACCAGCTACGTTATCAGCACAAATTAATTGCTTCATGTCACATACAGAGCACCTCGCAGACTACTAGTATCGATCTAGTAACGAGGTTTGTTACGGACAAAATCACCCGTAAAACGGTAGCGAGACCCGGTACAAGGCTATACACTATCGAATTAGATACGGTTGTAAATCCAAAACCAGCTGATATCTGTCTGTTCATTTGATGACAAATCGTTGTGCGTTCATCTTGGTTCATATAGGATAGCTTGTGATGACCACTGCTTAAAGAAATGCAGTTTTGGAGAGCAACATGGTCAATTAGCTTCAGATTTAGACCATGTGGAGGAGTTTGAGAAGTCAAGTATTCTCTGTCGGTCTGGAATTCGGTGTCAATTTTTCCCATTGCTTCATCAACAACAATTATTAGGAGACTCAATACTCCACACAAGGATGAGCTCTTCTTTCATTTACACACAAATTCGAGGTAAGAATGTGTAGATTAGATAAAACAGACTGCATAGCGATAATCGCAATACCCAAACGGACGAAGCCGAAAATGAGTGTGGCCTTATGGAATTCGGAGCAGATAACCAATCAGAACGCGAAGCTGATAAATATAGGTTCTCATAACCAAATAACGTATAGAACCTTCGCAAGCAATTGATTGTCAGAAAACCTAACACATCCATACGCGACCGATAATTATCGTAGTCCAAATCGAAAGCCGCCTTCGTAGATGTTGTGGTCCTTCAATCGCTTTAGTTACGGCTTCATTCCAAAAAGTTGTTCTGGAAACCCTTCAGACGGACAATGTCATTCAATATCTCCTGCAACACCTGTATACATGAGGCGATAAGCGTTGAATAGGCACAGAACAGTTAATACAAAGAATGAGGTCAATACCGGATCAACATATCAGAAAGTTAATTTAAAATTACCGAATCTCTTCACATTAGAAGTGACTAAGAGGAAGAATAATTTCATAAGATTCCCTCGGGGAAAGTCATCAATCGAGGTCGCAGGATTGGTGGAACAATGCTCTGTCTATGTGGGAGCTAATCACATTTCCGATCAGCCGCTGGCGGCTCAACGGTTAACTGATCACCCATTGGTCGAAAGATTCCAGTTCCGAAACTGGTATTCGTGAGATGCGTAGTGTTGATGATTCCCAACAAAAATGAAACAGCTGCGCAGCGTTTCACGATTTTTCAGCATAGGTTAACTTAACTGACAGGACGAAATCTCCATTTTTTAAAAAAGCGAATATCCTCACATCACCATCAATTTTATTAAACTGACATCTCGCCTGAAGACCAATTACCGCCTCCCACACTCGTTATGCATTTCGGAGGCCGCTGTGAAAATTCGAACGAAGCTTTTCGTTACTAGAAATATAGTGGAATTGCGACCGAATTGGTCAACGTACAGGAGAAAGAGTAACGATTGAATAGAGATGAGCTCAATCAATTGGGAAACGTTTGAGAGCGATTAGGTAGTCATCGTTTCCGACGTTCGGTGAACAGTCGGTGGATTTATTGCTGGGCAAAGTTTCGCTTCTGACACAAGGGCTTGATCAGGTCAAGTGCGTAAGTTACTAGGTTGATCGGGTAGCGAGACAATCAGGGAACTAATCTGAGATTTCTTGTGACTTGCCGATTTGATCAGTGCTAGGTGTCAATGTGAAGTTCCTCTGTGTTGGCTGGTGGGGATGACCAACACTTACGATAGGTTGGTTAGGGAAATTTGTCATCAGTTTGATTCGGGATTTTGCGGTCTAGGCACCTTAATGGAATATTTCTCTTGGGGGTCGTTCACAGATTCTGTTGGTCTGTGTGATTTGGGGGGGAGGGGTGGTAGGACAATGGGGTCGGAGTCGGGAGGTGGTTAGGTGGATTTTACTATGGTTGGATTTTGTACTCTTATACCCAGACCATTTTACTGATACCTGCACCGCCTCATACCATCTCAGCATATCTAAAACCGCTCTCCACATGCTTACCAGTTCTACATCCCTTATTCTATTCACGCTGGGATGCTTGGCGATTTCCACTTCCTCAGTCACCAGTCACTGTGGTGTGATAACTAGTCCCCGTGTCAAAATATTCGTGTTTTCCAAATTTATCATGTACTCACTGTCGAGTACATGCCCTGTCATTGCC